GCAGCGGTAGGAGCCCTCCGTGTTCTCGCAGGTGCCGCCCTGGCACAGGGGCTCAGGGCCACCCACCTCCTCGCACTCGTTGATGTCTGCAAGGAGGAGAAGGACAGGGGTGAGCTGGTGGCACAGCAAGCAGTCCCAGCCTGCAGCCTACATCTCCTTGTGCCCCTGCCAGGTGCCCCATGCCCCACCCAGCACCTCCAGGATGCCCACCATGACCCCACCAGCTTTCCACACTCCTCAGCACATCCACAGAGTCCCCTCAGTCTCCAAGGGTGACATCCCCAGCATTTGGCATCCCCCAGTATAGGAGGGAGCCCCCCCACCAGCAATGCACACCAGATAAGGGCCCCTCCATGCTCCGCAGCTGGTGACACCCCCGGATTAGCAGCTTCCTGCTCGTAAGTTGTGCTAGCATAAGATCTGGGAGAAAGGCCACCTCTAGCCTTGGAAAACACCCTTTCCTGATCTGACAAGGCCAAGGAGGCAGATGATGGTGGCCCTGAGAGACTGATTATCACCTCCAGGACCAGAACACAGAGGGACCTTGTGCTGCGCAAACAAGGGCTTGTTTTACTAACCTGCAGACTGTGCCAAAGGGCTCACTCAGTTGGCTCGCCACTGGGCTAGAGCGTGCACACAAACCCTACGGTGGCTGCTGACAGATCTGCTCTGCTAAATGCACTTCCCTGGACACCCTGCCTGAGCTACCCCGACTTGTGGTGGGGCCAACAGCTGGGCAGAGCATCCCTGTGCACCGCAGAGCCCTTGTTTGCACCCACAGGACCTCCAGAGCCCAAATCCTCACCTGCCAAGGCAGGTCCAACTCCTCTGACCACAAACTCCAACCTCAGCCCCTGCAGATTGTCAGGGAGTGGGAGTGGGGAGCCGCTGATGGGTTCAGCCAGCCACCCAAAGGACAGCGAAGGCCCTGGCAGTGACCAATGGACTCCGAGAGGACTGAAAAGCTCCGATGCCCTGGGGACCTTGGGTTATCCCCAGCACAGGTGGAGGGGGCCATCTGGCAAAAAAAGGGAAATGCAACCCGAGGGACAGAGGCTGAAAGCAAAACCTCCAGGTGCAGTGGGAAGGAAGCACAGCAGTCATGGGAGGAAGAAGAAGGAGAGGGGAAACATGAGATGAAAGAGCTTGGGGAACAAGGCAGCCTTCATACGGCAGCCTTCGTACCGCAGCCAAAGAAATGGCTGGACAGGCACTATGGGCTTGGACTAACCCTCGGGATCAGAACATTGCCATGGATGGGATGGGCTTGCTCAGAAGCCCAAGGAGACAGCGCATCAAGCAAGAGCAGTCCCCAGAGGCACTCCGCAGCCTGGGAAGTGAGGGGAGGCAGTCTTGCTGGGGGGTCCAGCCTGAGAGCCTCTAAAGGCCTGAACTCAGCAAGGTAAAAACATAGGGATGACTAGGCACCACGTAGGAGAACTGAAGGAAAAAACCCCAAGACTGGCTCCAGTGTAAAATGAGTGTTGGTTAGGCCAGGACACGAAAGGCAACAAGCAAAGGCTCCATAAATATGCTAGCAGGAAACAATGGGGAATGTTAGTCTGGTCCTTATCGGCGAAGGAAACAAAAGCCAGCCAACGCTGAGCTGGCTGGAACAGCTAATGTGGGCTTGGTTCCAGTCATCATAAAAATGCTCGTGGTGACCGGATAGAGTGTGGACCATGTTTGAAGGGTTTAAATGAGGGTGCAGGAGCACAGGGAGGGAAAGGCCATACTGTGATGGAGAGGTTCAACAATCAGATAGGTAAAGCAGTTACATCCATATTGCTAAAGGCCTGCTGCAACTCATCTTCAAATCTTAATGCTCCTGCAGTCCCTGAAAAATTGGCAGTTCCCTCTAAGACAGAGGATAAAAGGTCTCTGAGACCCGATGAAGGTTAACTATCGAAAACAGAAGGGAGAATCCAGAATTGCAGACTATGCACCCCCATTCCCTTAAACAGATCAGGTTTGTGAGTGATTAGGTCATAACCCTCCAAAGGATATCAGGGTTATTAAATACTCAGGGCAGATCTGTTAAGGCCTGATTACGTTAAGCCATTCTGGTTCCCTTTGCTGACCTGATAACTGGTCTCTCAGATAAGGGAGAAGCGGTAGATATGATGTGCCTTGGCCAGGGTGAGGATTTCAACACGCTCTCACATGACACACTCCAGTAGACTGAAAATACAGCCTAGGTGAAACTGCAGCAATTGCACAATGGGCTACGAAGCTGCACTCCAAAGATAATTAGCAATACCTGGCTGTTGCAATAAAAGCCATTTAAAGCGTAGCCTGCAGGGGTCTGTCCTGACCCCTACTCCAGTAAATGCTGTCATTAAGGTGGATGAAGAAAGAATCCCCATGCTTACAAAATGTATGTGTGTGTGATGCCTGCACTCTGAGGAAATGGGGTTCAGACTCATTCTGATCAAGCAGAGAAGTGGTCCAAAAATCAACCAAACAAAATTCACTGACAGCAAGTGCAAAGTACTGTGGCCAACGAAAGGCAAACAGTGCACAAATGCAGAAGGGGGAATAACAGCTCAGACAGCTGTTCTGCCCAGCAGCATTTGGGGAGGAAGAGGCCAGGGGCTCTGTATGAAGATACATGACCTTGTGATGCACTAAGGGTGCTGGAAGCTGGAATAAGTGCCGTGCTCAAGGGAAGAGAGGGTCTTCATTTGCTCTATTGAGTGTCTGGGGCCTCAGCTGGCTTGGGGAGCTGCACTGTGAAAAGGATGGTGACAAGGTATAGGAATGTAGAGGAGATGCAGAGAGAAGCTTTAGAGACTGTGTCTTGTAGGGCAGGGTGGAAACTGAGGAATTTCACCCGGGCAGTGGTGAATGTAGAGCAAAGTAAGCAGGGACAGTGGCTGGTGATGTACAAGAGTGTTACGCAAAGCAGGGAGTGATCAGATGCTCCCCATGATGGCCAGAGGTGCCCTGATCTTGCTGCCAGCAGAAAGTGGCTCGCTGAACCTCCAGGCAGATCCCCCCAGCTCCACGGGAAGGAAGAACCAGGGAGAGCCGGGATGACTCCGGCAGCCATCCCA